ATTTGATACTAATATCGATATATTTTTGTCAAATTTTTATGATATCCTCAAACATATATTTTATTCAAAAATAAAAACATCATCGTTTTTTCAAAATCACATAAAACCATATTATAACATCGACTGAGATAAAGAATAAAATGAGATATTAAAATCACGATGTATCTCGCTGCATTACGCGAGTACGCTTCTAGTCTATTAAAGGTACATTTATTTTTGGATTGAAAGTACTAACCATTACCATTTTCTTTAAGCTTAAGTGTGAATTGAGATTATCATTGAGTAAGACATAATAAATGTCGAAATATTGCTCAAGAAAAATAATCTATTAACCTGATCTTATATTGTTTATCCGAGTACTTGTGAATTCTCACAAGACCCAATTCCTTAACAAAAATTCATCTTTAATGTGTTTTAAATCCTTGAATTCTAAAAAAGTTGAGATTTACCCATAGTTAGGATGATAATGTGCCAATGAAACTTCTGTTATTTTTGTTGCCCTACTTTTTCTAGATGGTCATGCTTTGGCAATTTTACATAGTGATGGCCAAAAACCCTTCCCGGGCTTCAACAGTGCCGGTAATAACCGGTCCCGATCGAAAATGAAGAGCCCAATTAAGGTGAAGTATAACCGGTCCCGGTCCGACAATTAAAAAATATTTTCTTTTTATTTTTTTTAAATTTTTTTATGATAGATTTTTTAATACATTATAAAACTAGTGTGGGAACTGCGTGTTGTACAGTAGCATGCGTACTTTGGTTAACGATCAGAACATTGTCTATATAAATATATGTTAGTTGTTAATAGAATTATCAACAAATAATATTCAAATAATTCGAAAAGGTTAATAAAATTTAATTAGTGAAATTTTAATATATATATATATATATATATATATATATATATACTTATAATTAATAAGTAACTTGGGTGACACGTGTCATCTTCTGGTGATGTGGTTTTCTTGTTTTCCAGCCTAAACACGTATCTAGACACAATTTACGTTAGTGGTTCAATTAGATTCATTTGAACGTATCTAGACACAATTTACATTAACAGTTCAATTCCCATTTGATTGATCACTACTAAAAAAATGTGTTTTTTCCGACGGCAAAATCCGTCGGAAATCCGTAGAAAAAACAACTATCCAACGGATATTGCCGTTGGAAAACCTCCCGCCGTTAAATGCAAATTCCGTCTGAAATCTGTCGGTATGTTAAAAAAAGGTTTATTTATATTTTTTTCCTTCCAAAAATATATATTTAAAAGAAGTTCAAAATTTTCGACAAATAATTTTTATAATAAAAAATTATATTCCGTCGGAATTTATTAAAAATTTTCTTATAAAACATGTATTTTTTTAAATAAATTCCGACGAAATATAACTTTTTATTAGAAAATTACAATCCGTCGGATTTTTTTTAAACATATTTTTTGGAAGGGAAAAAAATAAAAAAAAGTTTTCTTAAACATATCCGACGGAGTATAATTAAATATAAAAATCAATTAAAATCCGTCGTAAATTTTAATTAATTAACGCTAATTAATTTATTTAAATAAATTAGACCAATTTTGTGACGGATTTCCGACGGATTTGTGATAGTATTAAATAAGTAAAAAAAAATCCGTTACAAATCCGTTGGTAAAGTTGTAGAAATAAAATTTTATTTTATTTTTAAATTCAGTGATTGATTTGTGGGGGATTTGTGGCGGACGTCGACAAAAGTTGACTTTTCTTGATTATAAAGAGCTCTGAAGTCTGAATAGTTTTACTTCAGAGTTATTTCAAGAGTACAAGTCCAAATCTAAAGTCATTTTTCAGAGTTATACTTAAGAGTTATTTCAAGAATACAAGCCTAAAGAGTCGTTCTAAATTTATTGCTAAGTTAAAATTCAATTTACTGATATATAGTTTCATTTCTAAATTTAATTTTATTTAGGGTTAACTTCATTTTAACTAATTCTTGATATAGTTTCATTTCTAAATTCAAGTTAGAGTCACTTTTTAGAGTTATTTTTCAGAATCATTTCAAGAGTACAAGTCTGAAATAGTATCGTACTTTCAATTATCATTCATATCTGTAAGATAAGTTGCGGACATGATTTAATTTTTTCAAATTACCCCGTATAATACACGGGATCGAATCTAGTGTATATATATATGTACATACATGTGTATATATAAAGAGAGATAAATTTATTTAGAAATAAAGTTGTAAAATTAAATAAAATGAGTAATAATAACGACGGGAGTGTGAATAATTTATGTATTGTTTGTATGATTGATGATGAATATGTTTATCAGCATTAAGTATGGTTAATTGTTCAAGCAAGCGTGACCCAAAAATCAACAATAGACGACTATTATGTGTGAAGAGATATGTGTAATATTTATTGATAATTAGTTATAGGATAATGTGAAATGTTAATAAATGTAATGACATACATGTAAATACATGTTTTAGAAGGTGTAAGCCATCAAAAGTCTGGACTCTTGTTGATTGTCAGTAGAAGCATGGTTCCAATAGTAGTTGGTGATAATTGAGTGTAAATTACAACCAATATATACTTATTCTCTACCTTAATGCACGTTGTAGACATGGTTGGTAAAAAAGATTAAAAGATAAATTTTATACATGTTTAGACTAAAAGATAGTCTGATATCTATTCGACATAGAAGGAGGTACCATGCATCCATCAAGTAGAATTGACTTCTAAGGTTTTATTGTTGTATGGGCTCAAAGTGGGCTTCTAAAACCATTTATCGGTTGTTGTCAGACATTATTTCACTATTTTTTTCGTTGCAACTTTTTGCTAGGTAAAAAACGCAAAAAAAAAAAAAAAAAATGAGCAAACATTGATGAAAAAACATTTTATATATTATAATAAAATGACCTCAAACTATAAGTATTGATGACACACATACTTTTTGACGAACTAAGTTAAGTTGATATCATTTAGATGATCTAACGG